TGAGCGAGGCGGAGCCGCCCCCGCTGCGGGCGCCCACCCCTCCGCCGCGGCGGCAGAGCACGGCCCCGGAGCTGGGCATCAAGTGCGTGCTGGTGGGCGACGGCGCGGTGGGCAAGAGCAGCCTCATCGTCAGCTACACCTGCAACGGGTACCCCGCGCGCTACCGGCCCACGGCGCTCGACACCTTCTCCGGTAGGGCCCGGCCCCCAGGTCGCGAGCTGGGGACCCCCTCGTGGGCAGGAGGGGGGCTGGAGGGGGGACAGGCCTGGGGGGGGCGTGGGGAGGCCCCGCCCGACGCCGCTCTCCCCCTCCCCGCCTCTGCAGTGCAAGTCCTGGTGGATGGAGCCCCCGTGCGCATCGAGCTGTGGGACACGGCGGGACAGGTGAGGTGCTGGCGCCGCCGCCGCCGCCGCGCGCCCCGGGAGGTGGGCTGGAGACCGGGGGAGGATCCCCGGCCCCTGGATGGATCCATGCATCAGGTGCAGATAGGGCCTGGGGCTCTGGGGGTGTAGGGTCTCCCGGTCCCAGCGGAGAAGCGGAGCCCCCGTGCCCTGTTTGGCAGGGCAGGCAGAGACTGCCTGGCTAACGTCCCGGCCTCTTCACTCCAGGAGGACTTCGACCGGCTTCGCTCCCTCTGCTACCCCGACACCGACGTCTTCCTGGCGTGCTTCAGCGTAGTGCAGCCCAGCTCCTTCCAAAACATCACGGAGAAATGGCTGCCCGAAATCCGCACTCACAACCCCCAGGCGCCCGTGCTGCTGGTGGGCACCCAGGCCGACCTGAGAGACGATGTCAATGTACTGATTCAGCTGGACCAGGGGGGCCGGGAGGGCCCCGTGCCCCATCCTCAAGCCCAGGGTCTGGCGGAGAAGATCCGGGCCTGCTGCTACCTGGAGTGCTCGGCCTTAACGCAGAAGAACTTGAAGGAAGTGTTTGACTCCGCCATCCTCAGTGCCATCGAGCACAAAGCCCGGCTGGAGAAGAAACTGAACGCCAAAGGCGTGCGCACGCTCTCCCGCTGTCGGTGGAAGAAGTTCTTCTGTTTTGTTTGAGCAGTGTGTGGTAGTGTAGTGAGTGGTAGACAGGAGTCCTTCTGGAACCAGGGCTACTGGCAGGGCCTGGCCCTCCTCCTCCCATGGGATCCAGATCTCATACGAACACTGAGGACACGGGCCTAAACAGCCCACTCGGATTATCCAGGGTGAGCCTAGGACCTGACTTGGATTTCTTTGGTCAAGACTTAGAGGAAAATTCCTGCACCAGCCGGGTTCTCAGGGTCTCTTATCATGGGACTCACAAGACAGCTTGGCTGAAGGAGGACCCCTTGTGGTGGTGCTCACCCCTGGCTAGGGGAAACAGCTGGTCATCTTGGAGGGTTGATTTGGAATGGAGTGGGGAAGCAGAGGTCAGAGGGAGCTTGAGGGAGCTGAGGAGGAGGATGGAGGCCTGGGCCAGGAGGCAGATCAGAGGGCAGGATCTGAAAGGAAGAAGGCAAGAAGAAGGGAGAGCAGAGGAGGGCAGCTGTGGGGCTGGTGACACCTGGGCTGTCCTCCACCCCCAAGGCCAGGGAGGGTGGGGCTGGTCCCTGGGAAGAACCGGGTCTCTGGGCTCCCTAGGCACTGCCCAAACTGGCTGGGCCAGAAGTGGGGCAGGAAGTGAGAGTCAGGCCGAGGTTGAGCAGAGGGAGGGGGAGGAGCTGCAAATTAGAGCCTGAAGGAGGAAGGGGTTGGGGTCATCCCTGTCCCCAAGGTCATAGCCTAGAAGGCTGAGCAGCGCAGTCTGCAAATAAAACCTTACATTTCTGAAGCCGCTGTCTGTCATTTCCTGGAGCCGGCAGTCCCTGATCCTCAGAGTGCTTCCCAAGGCCCAGCAACCTGGATTGGCAGGTTGAGTATTCAGGCTTGGTTGAAGGGTGGGGGCTGGACCACATAGGACAGTGTGACGGGAACTAGCGGTGGGGGCAGGTGTGGGGCTCCCTGCTTGGGGCTTAGCTTAGCTGGTTCCCAGGAGAGCTAGCGTGGGAAGCAGCTTGCAAACGGGTTTCCCCAGGTGTCAGCGCCAGAACTGCTTTCCCATGACCTCACCAGGTGGGTGGGGCCCCTCCCCTCTCTCCTCCTTTCTAGAGCATGATACTCAGCTCTGGGGCTCTGGGCAACCCCAAGCCAATCAATCTAGCCTTTCTGTTCCCTCCCATCATCAGCCCACAGAGCCCAGGATCTCCAAATACATACAGCCTTAAACTTCAACCCCTAGTCAAAGTTGTTGGCCTTGGATCAGTTGGACCAATGCTTAGCCTTGACACATAAGGCACTAGTGAAGAGACAGGTATTAGTTTTGGCCAGTTAAAAGTTATGTCTGGGCTGGGAAGGTGGCTCAGTGGTAGAGCGCTTGCCTTGCATGCCTGAGGCCCTGGGTTCGATTCCTCAGCACCACATAAGCAAAAAGAAAAAAGCAGAAGTGGTGCTGTGGCTCAAGTGGTAGAGCGCT